GCAATTCAATGGTCTTATCGAACAATTATTCTATTGTTAATCGTATACGTGTATGAAAGAAAAGATTTTCAAGGAAAGAAAAAGAATATCTTTATGATCGGGCACTCCCTATTCAAATACTTATTCTTTGATTTCATATCACAAAAGAATATTATCAATATTATTCAACAAAGTAACATATTATCAAAGACATTTCAATGGCTCTTTATTAGATGCTCTTGTAATCGAAGCTACACATATAAGAATCTCAATTTCCGGGTGATAGATAAGAATAATATAAGGCATAAAGTTCTGATGAATTGTGATAAAATAAAAAAAAATTTTTGTTAGTAATTCTGAGATTGTAATATGATGACTGACGTAACATCCAAAGAAATATATATATATATATATATGTACACGCAAAAAAAAATAAGAGAAAGAATAAATTGACAACGACAGCAAAGAGGCCACTTCTCGATTGTTGGAATAAATTAATTTGATGGTTCTCTCTTTATTTTCTCTGGCAAACTAAAATAAAAAGAAAAGCGGCGTCTTATTACGCCATTTCCTTTCCGTTATGAATTGATCATATATATATAAGCAACACACTCTATATGAGAGGACAATATAGAGAAGGAGGAACTAATTTGCGTGACATTTTTTTCTTCTCTCATACATCTCACATCGTCAATTCGATTTTTTAGATCTGTCATCATACTCACCATCATTATTATGCAGCAATGATAAAATATAAAAAGGAAACGACATTGTCTTTTCTTCAAAGGTGTTCACAAATATAAAAAGACCACTTTAAAACAGGCGACAAAAGGATTATGTCACACTTGTTTTAACAAAAAAAGAAATAATAAGAAAAAAATTAGATTGATTATTCGTCTACTTCAATGAGCAATTTTAGTAGTGCAAGAAAAAGGAGAGAAACTATTGTTTTTTCTTTTGCCCCGGTTTATACACATATACATATAAGTATATATATATATACATATTTCCGACCACTTGAATTTTAAACTAGCCTTCGCCATCACGTCCGTTGTCATTGTCATAAAAAAAAATCTGTCCATATGGCGATCGGCAACAACCACTTGAAACGGCAATGCATTCCATCATACATATACAATTACCTGAAGAGTGTGCGCGGTCCACACTTCCTGTTCGATCAATAGAATAGAGCGGTTTTTTTTTGATAGATAGGAGATTGAGAACACATGAAAATATATGTGTAAAAGTCGACATTTTTGACAATAGATGTTCCTGATCGTTATTCAAATGGTCATCGTTAGTTTTTTTTTTTTCAATTAGATTAAATTCTTTCTCTGTGATATTCATTTTATGAGAATTTGATTCCTGATCAATATGAGATCCCAATATTGGACATTAACTAGTACAATCATTTCGCCGGACATAGGACAATTGTATATATATAATGATCGGCATTGATGGAATAATTTTTTTTGTTCTCCTTTTTCTTTTTTTTTTCTCCGTATTGTCTAAATGTACTACACTCTCTTATTCTAGTGTAGGGTTCAAAAAATAAATAGACCGAACAACGATGAACGCAAAAGAGAACGACAGAGAAAGAGAACGAGAGAGAAAAGAGAGAAATCATAGAGTGGGTGGGCGAACACAGTCACCACTATCGCCATTACTATCGTCTCACATATTGGAAAAATCGCGAGTCATACATACACATATGTATTGTGCAGTAGCTAATTTTCTTTTTCATTTCAACGTTTGATCTTATCGAAGTGCACATATACATATATACACAAATATATTTCGCTAGATTAACCATCATATACATCATGATTATCTTAATTATTATCAATTTTTCTCTTCAATTCATTTGTTCGACTACAACAGCAACAGATATATCCAATATTCGATATAATTCTTTAATATCAGCACAATGTAAAGCTCGTTGCTTATATGAATATCGAAATCATCACTATCAACAACGATCACTACCATCTATATTCAATAATGGAAAAACGAAACGACTACTGGTGAGATCAAAAAAGAATGAATGAAAATTTCTTTATCTATAATTGACACTCAAGATTAGTCTTAGGCCCACCTAGGGAGTGTCTCTCACCTGTGAGAGTTACATGCTGAGTAGAAGTTGTATGTCGATAGACTTTTCCTACGAGGTTAAGAAAACATGCACACTATATGTTGATTTATTTGTTTGGCTAAACTTTTCCTATACAATAATCTTCAAGGACAAAAAAAAAAAAAGACGAATTGAATCGATATAATGAAACGAAAATTGATCGACTTTGATCTAGAAAAACAAAATAGTATTTTCTCTTATTTCTTCTTTTTATTGTTAATGAAGATATTCATTTTTTTTTTTTTTGGTCGAAAATAAAAGCATTAAACACCTTTCTTTTCATCTTCTATCGAGAAATGTACAATTAAGCCTCAAGGTGTGTACATTCACTTTATTTTGTCGATTAAGTCGTTTAGCAAATAGAATCAGTTCGAAGAATATCAAACTTGATTTGTTTCAGTTATAACAAGAAAAATATAAAAAGCAAATGAAGGTGTCATTCATGCATATATACAGGTGCTTCCGATTCTCATTTAGTAGAAATTTTGTTATCTTTATAGATGAGGTGTCTCGTCTATCATTCATTCAATATGATGACAAGACACTAAATAAATACATATAAGAATAAATCGAAAATTGAGAATGATAACAAAAAAAGAAAACATTTTTTTTCTTTTGCTTTTCATTCATTCTTTCTAATGATGTTGACTTAAACTTAATGAAATGAACAAGTTAGTTTTTTCGTCAAATATAATAATGATCTTTTAACAATTGTACGATCTGTCTCTTTAATTTCATTTTCTTTTCACGTATACATTGACATACATTATAATTATGAGAATAATGATTTGACAATACGAGATAAGAAAACAAAAAAAAAAAACTCAACTATCGATTGAATGTCTTCAATAATTATGATTGTATTTTAGACGACAAATGTACTAACTTTACCGTGGCGATCCATTTGGAAGCGTTGTCCACGCCTTATCACATGTAGCTCGGTAAGTAAATTGACCGAATGAATAGAAGGAGGTAAAAACGTATGATTATCTCATGTGATAGCCAATCTAAATGCACATCTAATTGAGAAATGGAGAGTCTAATGCCTAACAAATTCAATTATGAAGAATCTCACTGACCGACAAACCACTATAGACTAGTCGGAAATCGGATAATTCGCTTTTTTTTCTTTTCTCATCAGTATGCTAACGAGTCAATCTGTTTGTACTTGTCTCTTTATGTTCATTCTAGTGTCTACTCCCATGTGACTTAGATCCGCCACTTCTGTTATCCAATGAACAAAGTTGTCAAGCAATCTGTTCTACAGTAAGTATTTTTTATGTATTTAATATTTTCTATCTATGATCTAAAGCATGACCTCGTATCTGTCGAGCTCATTATCGATGGTAAAAAACAAGACTAAGAAAGATGATATGTTCATTGTGATGAGCGAATGATGTCGACAACTGTGTGTATATTTATAATGGAAAGAAAAAGCAGAAAGCAGATATGGACAATGAAGGAAAGAATGCGAAACAAATAAATAGACCAGAAAAAATAGGGTTAATGAATATCAACGATCAGACTTTGTTTTTTTTTCTTTATCTTTTATCTTTATTGTATTTTTTTTTTGTTTGTTTGTTTGTCTATTCTAGTTACGAAACGTTGAATGTCAACGTAGTTGTATTTTTATTCAAAATCTTTATCATCAACAATCCAATTGTTTGACAGGTGAGAAGGAAATTTGAGTTGTTTCAAAAAATAAAAAGTAAATGACATTCGGTGAGACGAAGTATGTTTAATTTAGCCTGAAGACTTGTCTACTTCATTTTATTTTTCTTGTTGTTGTTGTTATATTTGATGTCTCAGGAGAAAGAGAAAAAGAAACAAATCGAATAGGATTATTCTATTTGTACATCAAAAGTACTCATTTTATATTTTTTAGACGATTGTCAATCATCATCATGTTCACCAACAAATGATTGTTTCGGTAAGTTGATCGATTCATGCAGGTGTCCCGGATGCCATCGTAAAATAATGATTGACATATTGAACAGAAGAAAAAGCTGTTCATAATTAGCCTTGTATTGCACGCGAGAAAATGATAAATGTGAGAAAAAAAAACATACGTTTGTGTTTTGTTTTTTTTTTCTTTCCATAGAAAAAATTCCTCAACCGAACAATATCACTGCTATTGAAAGAAAAAGTCGACGAACTGTAAAACTTAAATGGAATTCAAATGAACTGACAAATATTGAACCTATTTTTTATGTTATTGAAGCACAATGGACATTACCAAAAACGGATATTAATCAAGAAGATATTATTTCAAAATGGGGTTTTGTTAAAGAAGAAGTTTCACATACAAAAGCAATTATAAGAAATATTCAACGAGATAATCGTTGGTATACTTTTCGTGTTGCTACTGTAACACGACATGGATATTCACCTTTTTCAATAACAACGAAACCTTTTCGTTTAAATTCACGTAAAGAAAAAACAAATTTAACAAAAATGAAATATTTAATGAAAAAATATTTGTTTTTTTTTTTCGTCTAGAAAATGAATCACAGAAATCTTTATCAATCACAGCAGCACCAAGAAATTTATTTATAAAAGATTTTCAATTAAATTCAAATACAATTAATGTAACACTTAGTTGGCAAAAACCAGATCTTCCAATAAATGGATATCAGGTTTGATTAAATATGTTTCTCATATTTTCTTTTTTTATAATTTTATGTTTTTTTTTTTCTTAATTAGATTTCTTGGGAAGCACAGAATGATCCATCTCTACTTGTAAATACAATCGATATTTCTTCATCATTATATCCATTAGAATTGACTATTTCATTTCTGTCTATGCATACATCTTATATTTTCAAAGTAAGTACTCATTTTTAACAAAAAGTCAAGTATCCACTTTACTTTCGTATAGATTCGTTCATTATTTATTTCTGATGATGATGATGAAATACAAATGAGTGTACCATTATCAATAAAATTTAATTATGAAGATGAATTATTGTCAATAAGAAATTTTTATATATCGGAACCATATTTTATAAATGGTTTAATTAAAACAAATATATCATGGAATAAAATAAATGATTATCGAATTCAACAATATGATTTACATTGGATTGAAACTCAATGTTCTTCAGATATATTACCATGTTGTTATCGACGTGATGCTGTGACAATAGACAATTTTTTTCAATTATATGATTTACGTTTTAATTGTACATATTTATTAAATATAAAGCCAATTTTATCAAAAATACGAATTAAAAAATCTTTTCAAATTTATTTTAATGTTAGTTCTTGTCAATTAATTCAAGTTTATGGAACTATTCGACCACCATGTCAAATAGATGAAAATTTAACTAGTTCATCTCTATCACCACTTAATCTTATTATCACAAGAAATGAATCTGGCATTCAATTTTATTGGCAAGATATGCGTTTATTAGGTAAGTTAACATAATCGGTAATCAATAAAAGATAATTTGTATATAATCCATTAGTTCATGATGATAGTGGTATTATCTATCAATTGCATATTGAACAGCTGCCAAGTCATATTGAACTTATTTCTGTTGATCTTTCACCCGTAAGATTATATTTATATATATACGTTCTTGTAATGTTGTAATTGAATCTTTTGTTTTATTTAGACGATAACAAATTATTTTTTACCATATTCAAAACAACAAGGTGATCGATATCTTAATGTAACATTAACATTATTTGATAATTTAATAATTCAACAACAAAAATCCATAATAATCGATGGATATCAAAATTATAATAACAATCATATTAATCGTAATACTCCATTGAGTGTTATATCATCAACAACGAAAATTCAAATGAATTATTTTATTTTATTTATAATATTTATTTCTATTGATTTAATACGACGATAATAAATAATTGGGAAAGAAAACAAAAATTGAACAAATAGCGAAGCACGAACGTTCATCTCGTCCGTCTTCTGATGGTGCACCGCAATACCGGTTCCCGGTTTTTTTTCTTTTGTTTTAAACTCAGGAAAATCTATTATCGTCGATTATCAATTGACATTTATCTTCAGTTTTTCACTGTCATTTGTATAGGTTTTTTTTCATTTTTTTTTCTTTTTTTTACAAAAATATATTTATTATTTTTTTTTTTGTTGCACATAACGATAAATGATATGAGCTTTTCTGTGTTTTTCAGTCATTGATAGTTAAATGATAGAGAACAGATTGCTTAAAGAAATGTCATCATACTTAAAGAAACAATAATAGTGATAAGATAGAAATATAGCTTATGTTCTGATCTTTTCTTAAGAATAAACGACCATGACATTATACTTGGTGAATTAACACATTGATCTATAATGAGCATTATCTTTTTTTCTGTTGTCTTTTCTCAAGAAAGTGTTGACCATGACAATATTCATGTAACAAACAGTAATGAAGGAAAATTTCAGCATATGTCATAACACTTTAGTAATTGTAATTCTCTATTGTTGCAATGATATTGGATATAATTGAAAATTTGAATCAATATGAAACTATTCATAGAAGACATTCAAATGAAAGAGGGAGAAGATGTTAAAAAAAGGACGAAGGAAACTGAACCAAACAATGTGATTTATACCTGAATAGCTTTTATAGATAGTCTTTATACAGCTGTGAATTTTTTGTTGGAAATATTGTCCGATCAATAAAATTGTTTTTCTGTTCTTGAATTTTATCGATGAAAAGATATATAATATAGATTAATCTGAAATACTAATCACTGATGACTGATGAAGCGATAAAATGTTGGACTAATATAGATAATGATTACATTCACATCAAAAATGCGATGTGAAAAAAAAAGAGTATCGAATTACTATATCATTTTGTACAAATAAATACTTGAGAAACAAAGAATCGGATAATTTGTAAAGGAAATAATAAAACATTCAAGAAGGCTTATTTATCACTGATATTTTCTTTAATTCTGACTCTCGATTGACTCATAGAGAATTTAAAAAGAAAACTATGTATGATTTCAATCAAGGCAACTTGTAAATTTTTAGTCATTTCAGAATTTAGCTTTGTTTTGACACATGTTTTTCGAAATTTTCTTTTTTTTTCAATGCAATTGAACTACAGTGAAACCACTCTTAGTGAACACTGTCATGTAATTCTATAATGTGTGCTCTCGAAAAACTTCAATTGTGTTCACGACAGGGAAATTTTACTCTAGTTTAGTAACTGTTACTTTTCAGAGAAGATAAATGATTGAAAAACCGAGAAGTGACAATGTCCAATAACTACTTATTTCATTAAACGGTACTCTTTAGATATCTAGAATGCTCTTCGTTTTCTTGTAAAAAAGAAAAACTTTGCTTTTAGAAAAGAATGAACTTTCTTATAAGGAACACTGTTGAGGATGTCCATTATAGAGAGGTTATACTTCATCATAACAATACTCTTTATTTTATTTTAGTTTACTTTTTCTTGAATCAAGTAATTCATCTGTTATCTTTATTAAAATAACAGAAGAAGAAAAATAAAACATGAAAATCAATCAAAATATACTTTAATAATCTGTTGAAATTAAGATTATTTATATGGAAAATTTTTTAATCAAAAAAGTTCTATTTTTTTTTGTTTATCTATTTTGTTGGAGAATCGTGTTGTTGTTGAAGTGAACATTGTTGACATATATATTTTCCATCTTTAGTTTTAAAAAAATGTGCTGTACCAATTTCATTATGACAATTTTGACATGTAAAACATGATCGATGATATTGTTTACCTTCAAAGCCAACTAATATAAAAGAAATCATTTTAATTTATTTATATAATCAAATAAATTAAATAATTAAATAACGTACTTGCTTCACCATTAACTATTTTATTTTTACATTCTGCACATTCTTGTGCATTTTTTATATGACAATTTTCACATAGAAATTTTGCTTCCGATTGTTGATCATCAGATTTTGATTGATGATAAAATGATTTACTTGCAATAGATGTATTACATTGAGAACATATAAAACATGTTGGATGATAATAATCTCCTTTATCTTAAATAATAATATGATATTATAATAAATTCAAAATTAATCTTAGAAAAAAACTTACATTCACTAACTAAAGAACCAGGAGCAAATTCTTTATAACATTTACGACATTTTTGACTTAGAATATCTCTTGCAGCAGCACTAACACCAGTATCTAATTTATCAAAACAAATTTTACAATACCATTTGTCATTCAATGGATAAACAGGTTCATCTTTCATTGGCTATATATAGATAAACAATAATTGAATAATTATTTTCAAAAAAAGAACAATAATACAACGTTATCATCCTGTTTCGTCGACAACTTTTCTTCCGTTGACAAATCACAATCTAATAATTAAGGATTTAGTCAACAAATGGAAGCTCATCTAATTAAGCATATAAGTAAAGCATTACTAGTATTTTATAGATGATGATTCAAAAGAATGTGAGGATGTAGATCAGTGAGAGTGTTTGTATTAATGTAAGCCTGTTGATTAAATATTGAAAATTCAAATCATTTCTAATCACAAATTTTACCCTTATTCTAATAGTGGTTTTGTGTTCATGTGTGAGATATGATATTCTACTGATCAAAACTTACAAGGAAACCTTTCAAAATGAAAAATTGAATTTCGTTCGATACAATGTTCATTTGATGAGTACTAGTAAGTATTAGAAAAATCTAGAATGGTTTGATTTTCTAGACATTCATTCTTGAGATATTTAAAGTTTACTGAGTTTTAATGTTATTATTTAAAAATAAACAAATATATTGTTATAATTCATATTTCTGAATTTAGTTCTAATAAGCAACTTGTGATTCTAGATATTCCCTACCATTGGCAGTCTTCATTTGTCGATCAAACCCGAAATTATTAAAATATGATATGTCAAAGGAAAAAAAAAGTTGTCGCTTAATTGGAAAATTTCTCCAATTAGTCTTAATTAGTTGACTAACACGAAACTGAATCGAAACTAACCTTTTGACATTGAACACCATTTTTATCAACTCCCCAACAAGTAAAACATGTTTCATGAAATTTTTTATCTTCCCAAACAATTGATGATGCTTCAATTATATTATGACATCGAGCACTAAATTTAGAAGTCACTTTTAATTATATTTATATATTCAGTCTAACATACCATTTTGGTGCTACTTTTTTATAACATATTTCACAAAAACGTAATGGTTCAGCAAGACTATTTCTTGATGTTATTGTTGATTCATCGGATTTACTATTTTTTGATTTATAGAAAAAACCACCAGCTAAAGTTTTACCACAATCCGAACAATTAAAACAATGTGGATGATAAACTTTATTTTCATCAGCTGTCATTACATTTAAGATTTTTTCACCACATTTTGAACATATTGTTGAAACATCATTTGATGTTATTTGTTGTAATGCAGTTGAAGATTTTTGTGTTTCAACCATTGTTTATAATGTCAATTGAATTACTTATGAATTTGTTGTAGTTCAAAGGAAAAATTAAAGTGAATAAAATGTAAATTAGAACGTAAAAACAATATGATCGATCATAGAGTAAGAAAAAATTGGCGCTTTTCACATAAATTTTTGTTGATATTAAAATTTATGATTTCAACTAATTTTAGGAACAATTTTATAAGTCTTTGAAAATTATGTTTTATGTACCCGTAGTAGTAGAAGACATCGTTTGAATACATGAATTGATGAGAGATTTTTGTGAAAAAATTTTGTTGAGTGTCAATTGTTGCAATGTCTAATGACTTTGTATTTGATGGTTATTTAACGGATTCTTTTTTACTAGAGTCATACTTACAGTCATTATATATGCATATGAAAGAATCGATGCCTACTTTCAGCTAAATAATGCACTATTCATATATGGTACTGACGTGCCATCTTGATTGCAGTCATTTTTTCTTAGTTTGATAAGAAATATCCGTAAAAATAGAATCGACCTGGGAACATGAAAGAGAAAAAAAGATATTTTGAAGTCAGAAGAATCAAATATAGTTTGGGTAGCACACGAACAAGTTCAATAATGTTTAACATATAGAAGAACGACATCAATGACAAATGAATACATTTTGATTCAAGCAAATCAAAAATTTCAGATAATCTTTTGAATCTTAATAATGATCAAAAGAAATTATGTTCTCTTTCGTATTGATATATCAAGATATTTGATACAACTGACAAGAATGATCTTGATTATGATCCTAAAAAAAAATGATATATTCCAATGTGCTTCATTAATGGTTTTTTTTCGGAATCGGGTTTTGCACAAATCAATTTTGTATTGACTTTTTCAATGGAACCATTTTTTCTTGAGTGCCCAAAAGACATGTTCGTAGTCAGGATGTAGTTCATACTGAACTACAAAACTATACGTGTCTTTCCGATTTCACAATATTCATGAATAGGCCTATGTTAAAGATGTTGGCTTGGCAGAAGTAAATGATCTTGAATTTTAGGTAGAAGACAACGTGTTTGCTTATTAAAAGCAGAATGACTCTTTTATTGGTATACAATTCATTAATATTGCAGAATTTAATTTGTCTTGTTTCTACAATTCTTGAATCATTAATGAGAAAACAGAAATACTAATTTTATCAGTGATGAATAAGTGATATCTAGCATTTTCAACTAACTCAAAAGCAAAAAGTCTCATGACGAATACCTATGATCATCGTTCTTGTTAAAAACTGATTGAAATCGTCCATTATCGATATTTGTTGTTTAATTAATGGACATAATGTTTCATGGCACAGTAATTACCAATTTGGTTTAACCGACTAGTGGTCACCGGTCGGAAAATAGTTGTTAGATATTTCATTTTTCTCTGATAAAACTTGTCGAAAACAAGTTGGCTTGCTCTCATCAA